GCCTGCGCCACCATCACCAAGCGGTCATGCCAGTATTTGAAGTTCTCGAACTTGCGTTCGTCGGCGCTGAGATAGCCGACCTGGACCAACGCCGGGTCGAGAGCCCCAGAAGACCGTGACATTTCGTTTCGAAACCATGCCTGCGTGGGCCGGTCCCACCTGGGGAACAGGAGCTTGAGCGTCTGGAGGGTCTCGTGCAGGAAATCGTGCGGGAAGAGAGACTCGTCGCTGGGACATGGTCAGTGAGCCACCCTCACCTTGTGAGCTGTTCAGCCGTGAGAAAAGATGGCCAAAAATACCTCTGCTGGCGCAACAGAAACGACGCGTGATGAAACACTGCCACCGTGTCGTCGTCCATGACCCTGAGGTGGTCTGTCAGGTTGTCCGTCCAGACCACCTCGATTCCAGCAATCTTGCTCAGGTTCCGCGCGTTGAGTATCTTGTCCAAGTTGACTTTGTCATGGCTCAGTTCGGTTTTGGCTGGGAAGCACCGCTCAATGTGCTCTTTTATCGTCCCCCGGTCCCACTTGATGGGCCTGGCGAGATGCACTTTGGGCCAGAGGTCGCCAACCTTTATCATCAGCAGCAAACGCGCCGCGAGATCGATCGAGTGGCTGTCTCGCTCTTCGTCCGGGACGTCGGTCGGCGAGTTGTTGGGGAACTGACAAGAGATTTTCTCCCTCTGAACGAGCGCTCTTAGCGACCTGGCGAGCTGGATTATATCCGCGTGCGTCTTCACCGATGTGCGGCGTCCTCCGTCGCGGAGCACCATTAGATCGCATTGTCTGGCATAATATTCGAAAAATGGATCTAGGTTCCCCTCTACGCATTCTGCAGGAGTGTTCCAGAAGCCCCAAGCAATCGCTTGTCTAGCCTCGAGAGCAGGCATGAAGGCCGAGACAGCTTGGCTAGTCATTGCAACTAATTATATGGCACGTGTCATAATTATCCACGACAAGACAAAAGTCTCTGGAACCCTTATCAGCAGGTGTCTCCGTTTAAATCGGAGATGTTGTGCTCATGATCGGCTCTGAGACGGCAAGGCTCCGACCCTCTATCACAACTTCCATCTGGACGTGGCGCACGCATCGCCCCAGCGATGCATCATCACCCGACCAACCTGCATGGGCTGAACAGAAGCGGCCTTTGGATTTCATGCTCATTTGCTCGGGCTTTCGATAAACACATGCGGGGCTTAGCGCTCACTGGGCATGCGTCAAGCACCACACCATCTTTGTCGACAGACAGGCAAGGCTCTAGACGGTCTGCCTCCCAAGGAGCCTTACCATTCTTGTCTCGTACTTTGCACGGCTCTCAAAAATGGCCGTTATACCCTGCAACGTCAGTCTGCCGTTTGTTCCCACCCATGACACTTTGGGCCAACTTTTCGTTCGTTCAAGTTTTGTTGCTGGCTGCCGCTTCTCTGGTGGTGCTCAGCACTTGCAACCTCCAATGTCTCTTAACATGCCATCGGCATCAAGTTCTTTACTTTTTGAGACTGTCGAAGATGTACAGTTCTCCCGCGTAAATTTACCCATTTTCGGCGCGAAATGGAAGAATCCAAAAGAATCGATCGGCGGTTGGATCGGTTCCTTGAAAAAGGGACGATACCAATGCTGGTACAGTATCGGACCCGCGCGCGAGGCCTATTCGCGTATGGCGCCAATTGTCGCCAACTTCCTCGGATCCTGCCAGAAATCCGCGGACGATGTCGACTATGGCATGTACATGATCGGACATTGCGAAGACAAGGCCGCGCCGCGGCTTCTCGTTTTCTCCAAAAACATCAACGCTCGGAAAACCATAAGGAAAAAGATCAAAGACAGCAAGATCCTGGATGGCTACCCCGGAATTGGGCTCGGCGATGCAACAGCGTTGCCAGGCAGGAAACCAATTCAGCGCGCGGCCAGGGAGGACATTGAGAAGATTCTGCCACTCGACTGCGACACCAGAGGGGGAAGGGTGGTTTTGATCGAGGGCTCGGGAACGGCAGCTGGCAAACGGATATATATCGTGGACCCAGAAGACTTCTCGCTTCGTCCAGCAACATCAGGACCCTTTGTATTCATCAACGACACATGGTGTCAGCTGACCGTGGCGCACGCATTCCACAAGTCGCCGTACCAAAAAGGCTTGGAAGAAGTTGCCGACGATGATTGCGATTTTGATGGCCTGAGCGAGTGGGACGACGAGGACGACGAGGACGACTTAGAGATCACTGGGGCTGCGAGTGTCAGCTCGGTGACCGATGAGGCCAGAGATTCGTCTGCAGGGCACGGGTGGTTGGGTTCGCCTGATGACGTGGACTATTCCGACACAGAGACTAGCAACTCTTCTCGGCCTTCAACACCGAGATCGTCGCGACCAACTACCAGTGCTATTCGCGATGCCAACGAACCGCTTTCGCGCTCCCCAGGAGATCAAGACAGACCCTCGCGCGCCCAAGTGGCAGCCCAGCAGAGCGAGATTCTCAACATGTCGCGGGTCCAGTACCTGGGTAAGGTGGACTTGGCTTCGAAAGGTCTGACCGAGCAAGCACTGGACTATATCTTAGTTGTCATCAACAACGGCCAGATCCCACAGCTCATCACGCCTCAGCTGATTTCTCCCGAGCTCATCATCACGAAACAATTCCCGGCAATCGACATGGAAAGCGAGACGGCGCCTTGGTCTTGCTCTGTCAAGGAAATCCTCTTGGACGACGTCGAAGTCATTGCCATCTTGCCCAAGTTAGGTGCCGTGCAGGGGGCAATCATTGCAAGCCCCTCGTATCTACGTTTGGGTGGCAGTTCCAGCTTTCAAAGAGTCTTTACGCTGAAGCTCGACAGCCCGATCTCGGACGGGGACTGCGGGAGCCCCGTGCTCGACAAGTCTGGCAATTTCTACGGTCACATCGTGGCGGGTGGCCTGGGGACTGAAATTGCGTACATTCTTCCGGCCACCGACATCTTCAACGACATTGAGAGCCATGTGTGGGGCAAAGTGTCAGTGCCGAACCCAGAGTCAATGCTAGTCTCGAAATCCATACCAGGTCCGCCGTCTCGGGGTCCTGAGGTGGTCTCGGCAGCAGCCAGACCTAAATCTCAAGGGGCGGCGAAAATCGCCGATGATGGCCACAAGAAGCACGAGACCGCTGCACATCCCGTGCCACTTCTCCCTCCACCACACATGCGCAGGCCAGGGCGCATATACAATGTACTCCCCCAAGACCCTGGGAGGAGCGGATTTCTCCCACCACACATGCGCGGGCCACCACCAAGAGGCGATGACGGAGTGCAACAGGGCTCAACAGCAGCAGCAGCAGCAGCAGCAGCAGCACCGCTGCATCCACCAGCACTGCATATGTCTTCTTTCCTCATCATCCAAGCCGCGATCGGGGAGGGCCAACTGGTGGCCGAAGAGGAGCTGAGCGACGACCTTGCCGAAAACAGATGGCAAGAAACATGGATAAAAGCCGCTGCTGCCGGCGATCCCGGAGACAACAAAAAGAGCCTGCTTGCCATGTGGACCGAGTTCAAAAGGACAGACCGCCACCACCATCGCCAGCAACAGCAGCAGCAGCAGCAGCAGCAGCAGCAGCAGCAGCAGCAGCAGCAGCAGCAGCACCTACAAGTCCACAACAAGCGCCGCAAGACCGCCAAGGTCCGCTCCAGGATCAGCAGGACGCTGCTGGCATACCACCACTATCACACGACTGGCCGGATCGACGAGGACGAGGTCTGGAATTCTGAAGTCGGCATCAGGGAGTTGGGGCTGATTGTAGACGTGGATGAAATGGAGGCCAGAGGTGAGGTGCGTAGGCAGGTAACCTAGGGTAACTGATGTCAAGCAGGCAAGTCAGACAGGGGCTAATTAAGAGCTTTGATGCACGCACCCACCACCTTTTTCCTCGCACCTACCTGGGCACATTGGCAGCTGGCAACGCAGGGACCGCTTTTTGTATGGTAAAATGCCGTATTGCATGGCAGCCACCCAACGCCCTACCGGGCACTAAGGAAGCCCGGTAAAGTAAAAATGACACTATTCACACTTTCACATGCCCGAGGTAATGCGCGCACTTGGTGTTTTAAGGTCTGTAGCGGCCAGGTGGCCTTTGCAGGCCTTTGTATGCATATGCAGTCCTCTCCTGTACCAAAGAACACATCGTCAACCTACCATTACGCATCACAGCCTTCATGATGCCTTTGATCGAGCTTTCCTCTGACGATTCGAGCTCCCTAGAATTGCATCACCATGTCAACAAACTAGGTTGTCATTAGACTAGATTGCTTAAATTAATACACTCCACTCAACACCAAGGAATTACATCACCATGTCAACAAATCAGGATTCAACGGATTACTCGGGTAGCTGGGCGCATGCCATGATATTTGGCTCATTTACATACAAATTCGGGCCTCAGAGTTGCCATTTGCAAGTTGCCTTTTTTTCGAGGCTGACTCAGCAACGAAGAAATCGTCAAAATGGAAAACACCACGGTAAACGCCTTTTCAGGGCTTTTGAAGGTTTTGACGGCTTCAACGCCGTTGACCCGGGCTGCCGGGCTGCATGGCAGGCGCATGGGCGGCCGGATGGTTATTCAGTATTTTACCGGCTTAAATTAGGCTCTGAGTATCTCAGTTGCCAACAGCTGTCAATATGCCCAGGTAGGTGCGAGGAAAAAAATGGTGGGTGCGTACATCAAAGCTCCTAATTAATCGGCGGTGGTTCATTTCCATGTATATTTACTAGAGAAGAGAAAATTGCTACACAGGGTTTTTTTTTTCGCCTAGTAGGAGGTAGTAATACATATCAAGTCAAAAAAGGACCTAGCTAAGGAAGGATATATTAGTGAGTCGAAAATTGTGTAGATGCGTCGACCATGAGATGAAAGGGCGGCGGCGAGATGGGGTGCAGTGCATCGACTTTGGATGAAAAGATGAAAGGGCTGGATATAGAGGGCATTAGCGGCGGACACTTGCAACAACCAGTTAACTAGGACCCCTGTTCTAGGTTAATTCGGGCCGCTGGTCTAGTGGTATGATTCTCGCTTAGGGTCCACCCTTAGTTGTCTGCGAGAGGTCCCGGGTTCAATCCCCGGGTGGCCCCCATCTTTTTTGCCCTTTTTTTGCCTTATTGCATGCAATACACCAGGACGCCAAAAGCTGCCATAAGAGGCAATTACGGGTTGGTTATCGCCATGATGTTGGTCGATTCTCGTTATTCCATGGGTTGGACTGATTGTCGTCAGTATCGTGTCCGACGCCGTATGCTTCTTCCCCTAATGCCAGGTTGGCCGGCTTATTACTAACCCTGATTGTATGTGATAGCTATTTATAGGAGAGAGAAAGGCCTCTAAGACTCTATAATAGGGATCCTAAAAGCTATTCATTATATTGCTCGGCGAAAATTTTTTAGGGCGAGCTACAAAGTGCTAAGGCATCGCAGCGACTCTCAAACAGGTTGCATCATGGCCTCCATGCTCTGCACAAACTCTAGCGTCCCAATACCATGGCTTTGAAGACGCTGCAACACGCGCACGTCCATCCCTGGCAGTTCTCCGTCACCAGGGCCCGGTTATGTGCCCACAGAGGCGGCTCCTGCGTGGCAACCTGCCTCACCACACCGGCCTGGGCTTCGTCGAGATAGGCGACGACGTACGATGTCGAGTAGCTCTCCGAGCTGAGGTGCTGCACGCCATCGAATTTGCGGGTCATGTACGTGGCGTCGCCCGTGACTTGGTAGACCGAGCCGCCAGGCCCCGATCCCTCCCGCGCCAGGAACAGCGACCAGTCACGAACAGCGACCAGTGGTTCGGCTCGCCCTCGGACTGCATCTCTAGGACAACCATGAGAGCTAGACGAGGCTCTTCTTCTTCGTCCGCTGCGGCCGGCGAGACCTCGGCGAGCATCCAGTCGGTGCGGCTGCCGTCGTTCTTGATTCGGCGCGTATATTGGGTCCCGTCGTGAGTATTTGTGCGGAATTCACGGTTTCCTCGCTTTGAGACGGGCCCGTACTCGACGATATCGGACATCTGGTTATCTGCTTGGTCAGCGAGGCGTCAGACGAAAAGAAAACTTGATTGAAGCTAGTCTGAGTCTTCTCACGTCGATTGGAGGTGGTAATTACAGCTGGAAAATGGGTGGGCGTTCAGTGGTGGAATTGCCTATGGTTTGTTGCTACTTTCAGCTGCTGTGGTGTTCAATCATGAGAACTCATTCTCTGACAGCCTAGCGCACTAAACCCTTAAGTACTTTTGAACTAACAAGTCCTTTGTACGACTGTGCCGTATGACTCACGGGCCACACGCCCGCATGTTCATACCCAAGGGACGGTGCTGTATCTGCCCATTGTGCTGCTGGTTTAGGAGCAGGGGTTAGAAAGAACTACGACGGCTCTTGCAGAGTCACAGGGTTGCTGGCTCACATGGATTGGCGCGTTGGTTGATGTGGTGCGTCGTGCGATCTGACTGAAGCGTGGATTGATTGGTGTCTTCCGGATCAGGGAGACGGTGCGAACTAGAGAACGAATCCTCTGAGGTCAGACACTTGGTACAGTCCGCCTTATACCTCGGGCGAAAACTTTCATCTCACATAGCGGCGGCAAGTTTCACAAATCGGCCAGTATAACTTCATAGGTGCCGTTCAATTGTTTGACTTTTTGCTATACCGCGGTAAATGCCTATTTTGTGTTTATTTTACTATATGCGTGGTAATGGGTGTATTTAAGCCATTTCACTTTTTTTTTTGAGAGTGGACATAACTATGGAAGTCGCTTTGGGTAGAGGAGAGAAAATATACCCACGGTACTCAGTAATATGCTTGTATTTAACTACCCTACACAGGGTCGCCCCCCTATGCTCTCTCCTTTGTATAAATAACTAGTCTTTTTCCTTTGTAAAATAGGTCTAGTCAGCTCGTCCATATGCCTTTCTTAATGCGCTTCTCCAGGCCTATTTTCCCTGTGACAGACTGCCTCGGCGTCAAGGACGACGCTTTGAGCCGCCGAGATTCTCGATGATAAGGTTGCCTGATAAATCTAATTAATGTAGCCATTTAGTTTCTCGGGAGGGTGACAACGAAGCGCTTCGGGCTTCACTCTGAGCCCTGTGCGACCTGCACACGATTGTGAGCTGACCGGCATCGGCCGGGGACAAGACGTGCCCCTTGTTGGACAATTCTACAGGCGGCCATCTTCGCGCTCGGGGCCGTTGGTTCCATATCAAGTTTCAACTGGCTCGGAAGGGAGACTCGAGGTGTGTGGTGATTAGGGAACGGACGATAGGAGAAGTGCATCCCGAGGTCGTTTAATTATCGTAATCAGACAAAGACGTCCAGCGAGCGGCAACAAGCAGATCCTAAACATCAAAAGAGCACGCGCCTGGTCTTTGTGATATCGTTAACATCTCACGCCGTGGGTTTCGTGCGGTCCATCCACGCCATCCAGTCGCGATCCACGGACGGCTTCATGATGTTGGCATACTCCTAGTAGTCGGGAAACTAGCCCGCGTTCTCCCAGTCTATGACGCCCGTGATGCGACCGGCGGCGTCGACCATAATGTTCCGGGGCGCGAGGTCGCCGTGCGTGAAGACGGACACGGCCGGCCGAGATAGCACGGCCGCGAGGTCTTCCCGACACGATCCGCCATTGGAGTGGAGATAGCGCCCGTTGATGCGGGCCCGTAGCGCCTCGTCGCTCTGGATCGGGGTGGGCGGCTGGTTGAGGTTTTTCAGCAGCACGTCGATGCTCGGCGAGCCGTCGGCCCCGCACTGGTAGAGATGGGCCTAGACGGCTGGCTTTGCGATCTGGCGCAGCTGCGCGACGATGGCCCAGATGTCGAGACGGATGCGCTCCTTGCGGGCATCGTCAAACGTGTCCCACAGGTCCTTTAGCAGACAGCCGTCGACGAGGTCCATGATGGTGCTGCCGTGCTTGATGCCATTTTTCAGGTGGTAGCCCGCTGTGTGCACGGCAGGAACCGGCATGCTCGTGTGCTCCTTGGCGAGATGCAGAGCGGCTTCTTCGTTGCGCGTGACGCGGTGCCCGTGCCCATACTTCCGGACGACGTCGCGAAAGACCTCGTCGATTGTGACGCCAGATTGCTAGCTGATGCGCCGCGCTTGGAAGTCGTCGTCGTCGTCGAAGTCTGAATACGAGGTTAGTATCTGAATACGAGGTTAGTATTCGCCAATCAGGAGCCTTGCAGTGGATGATGTGATAATACCACCGGTCTGGTCCGGTGGGTCCCGTCGCTCGAAGTCTGGCGGGGGCGGGATGGTCATTGCAGGGTATGCGTGTCCGCCGTCTTGGGAGGTGTTCGCCTTTAACGATGAAATGTCTTCCCGTTTGCGCATGGCGGCACACTTTTTGCGGGCGTGATGGTGGGGGCCGTTCCTCACAGGTGCATGCATATCGGTTCCTAACAGGTGCATATCCGTGCCTACCCTACTCAGTAGTTGGGTTGCGCCACCCACTGACTGCCGTTCATATTAAGGGGCTGAGGGGCTGACTTGGTTGCTATTTTTGACTGCCGATTTTTGTCGAACGGCGGAGACCTGAATGAGAATCCGACGTCTGTCCCTCAAGACCAAGAGCCAGCAAATCAAGCCAAAATGGAGCCCCTCGCACCTGTTGCTGCCCCTTTCAGTCTCCGCCTCCCTTAATACAAAGCGGGTGGTGATCGAGTCAGGCCAGCCACAATGAGGCAACAGCAGTTTAATCTATGGTGTCCTGTCATCTAGGAGATGGCGAATAGATGGCCGCCTCGGCCAATTAATTTCGGAACACGACATGCACGCCCTTTCTGTGCTTCGCGCGTCGTGTTTCACAGAACACCCGACTCGCGTCTTTCCGAGTCGGTGCCTGTCCCCCTTTTCTGGTCGCAAAGGCAAACCTTCTCCTTTTTTTTTTTTTTTTTTTGAATAATTACCGTTCCCGGTTTTACCTCGACTTTTTTAACGTCATGTTTTCCAAGCGGTGAAATCTGCTCCAGCTTTTTGTGCCCTGTTTGTAAAAGACAACAGCGGGTACCGGTGGGATACAGTCCTGGTAGCATCGGCAGAACCAACACTCACCATGCTCGCCTTCGGACACGCGTGTTGGCATTTCCTTTACCTCCTTGCCGTCGCCGTCCCCAACCTGGACATGGCCGGCGGCCAGCTGTCCACGCCCACGGCCGGCTTCATCGGCTGGTATATAGATTCCGACCTCGCCACAAGTAATTACGTTCCTTTGCTTTACCTTGCCATTGCCATTGCCATCGCCATTGCCATCGCCATTGCCGTGTGCTGTGAGGCTAACCCACCGTCTCCCGGCCCAGCCGAGCCCATCACCTGTATCGAGTCCGTCGAGACTATCACCATCCAAGACTCACATGGGGCGTGCTGCGGCGGGGACTCTCCGTGTCGCATTTTTACAAACTGTCTGAGCAATGTCGCTGTCGAAGTCTCGGGCTCGACTTTCGTATGGTGAGTAATCATGCGCCATCGCAAGAACCGAGACTGGGGAGCACGCGAGACTGACTCAGTGCTGTCTCGGCGGCACGGTCAAATAGCCCCGGAGAGATGGTATGTCAGACAAGGAGCGTGTTCGACGCCCCGCAGTGCACGTCGGCCAGGCAAACCGACTTCTTTTGCCAGACGGACGGATACAATAGCGCCAGCACCGTCTACCTCAACCTCGACGTGTCGACGACCTCCTCGGCCATGCCGACCATGTCTGCCAGCCCTGCCAGGTCTACCACGTCAACCACACCGGCCACGTCTGCCAAGTCGGCCCCCCCGGCCACGTCTGCCACGTCTGCCGAGTCGGTCCCGTCTACCACGGCGGTCCCGTCAACCTCAACCCCTGCATCCTCGGCCATGCCATCCTCCTCGACTACATCCTCCTCGATAGCATCCTCCTCGGTAGCATCCTCCTCGCTAATATCCTCCTCGAGAGTATCCTCTCCGACAGCATCCTCGGCCACATCAAAACCCGACCCAGCAGCCACATCCTTGACCGCGACGACAGCAGCGGCCCCGTCACAAAACAGCACCTCCGCCGCCGCAGCCGAAACACCGCCAAGCTCGTCCTCCACGCCTGCGTGGATCGCCGGCGCCGTTATCGGG